GCTGATGTTCGCCGCTTTCAGGGACCACCCCGCCGCTCCCCGCTGCCTGCTGCGGGCGGGCGCCGACACGGAGCTGCTCACGGTGGCTGGACACACAGCGCTGCAGGTCGCCAAGGAGAAGGGTCACGCCGGGTGCGTGCGCGCCCTCGAGGGCATGCGGCGGCCGTGTGCGTGCGCGCCCTCGAGGGCATGCGGCGGCCGAGGCGGCGGCCGAGGCGGCGGCCGAGGCGGCGGCCGAGGCGGCGGTGAAGGAGGCGGCGTGGGCTTCGGGGGCGGCGGAGCGGGTGGCCACGGAGGCGGAGGCGGCGCGGCACCCCGAGGAGCTGCTGGCGGAGGCAAAGGCGGAGGCAAAGGCGGAGGGGCGGGCAGGGGGGCAGCGACGGCGTGGTGGTGGTGGTGGTGCGGCGGCGGTGGTATTGGTGGGGCGGACTCGCGGTCGGAATGGAAGAGGCGGCGCAGGCGTGGCGGGGGGACGGTGCGCCACGCACATGACGGGCGGCCCTCTCATGGCGTCGTGCCTCGGCTGGCCGGCGTCGTCGCGCGCACGCTTTGGCGCGCGGTCTCGCGCCGGATTGGTCGAAAAGTGGATGTGCCAGTTGACGCCCGGGAAGGGCGACGCGCCTTGCATCGACTCGCGCGCGCGCGACGCGTCCTCGATGCTCTCAAACTCGACAAAGCCAACAAGTTTGCCGTTGCGATCGTTGCGCGTCCGGCACGACTCGTAGCCGACAAAGCCGCGGAAGTGGCGCTCGAGGACGCCGTCGGTGATGTCGGACGGAAGCTCGGGAAGGAAGAGCGTCTGGGATGGCTGTGCACGGCTCATGGTACAAAAAAAAGAACGTGCTCCTTCCCAGCGTGGAAGAGGCGGTGCAGGCGTGGCGGGGGCACCGTGATCCACTGTGCGCCCGCGCGTCTTGAAGGCAAGTCTTCGCAAACAAAGAATTTTGATGCCAAAGCGCGGTGACCAGCTGGCGGTGACACGCATGGGACGAGGCCTTGATCCTCTGCGACTGCAGCGAGACATGGTCACTCCCAGCCGCGTCGCCTTCTCGTGGGCGCTGTGAAGGTGCAACGTGGAGGCACCAAGCTCCGAGAGTGGCGTGCTGCAGCAGCGCTTCCGCGCGAGCAGCGACGCTCGCGGAGACGCTATCCATTTTTGTGGGACCGAAGGCGTCTGCTGCAAGCAAGCCCGCACGATCAGCGGCTGCAAGCAAGCCCACACGATCAGCGCGCCCCAGCAGAAGCGACGTCCGTGCCAGGCAGTCCGGACCAGCGAGCGAGTTCTTTACCAGGTTGCAACCCTAGTTTCGCACTGTGCTGTGAACAGAGGTGAGCACCAACCAACCATCCGATGCTGGGGTGCTGCCAGCAACCAACCAACTCACCGGCGAGCGGAGCGAACCGAAGAGCTGGGGCCAAGTTCGTGGCGCGCTGTGAACGTCAACGCCGCCCGCAGCATCGAGCGGGCGCGTCCTCCCCAAACCAGCGCCGGCGCCCGGCGTGTATTGCACCATAGGTCGTCGGCTTATTGCCGACGGGCGACGTGGACGGGACACAGGGACGGGCGAACCACGTACCCGAACATAAAGCATGATCTACTGGATCCAGTTCCAGAGAACGGGGCATTGCACCCCTACATAGTGCGGGACGGCCTGGGGCAGCAACCAACATGCAACAACCTGGATGGGGACGGGGTGCTGCGCAACCGACGCCAATGCCAGCAGCGTTCACAGCACAGAGCGTGCGAAACTAGGGTTGCAACCTGGCATGCAACCTGGGTAAAGAACTCGCTCGCAGCCACCAACGAGTTCTCTCGTCTCTCTCAAAAAAAACAAATTCGATCGGGCTGCGACCTCACCTGTGCGTGCCCATCTCGCCCTCTCCCGGGTGCGACCTCCACCGTGTCCACGTGGCGGTGTGGGAAAAAGAAGAATTCACGGGGACGCGGCCCTCTTCAGAAAACGTATTCCTCGCCCTCCTGCTCCTCCTCGGATGTCTCCCCATCGAGTTCCTCGTCACTAGCGCTGCCCTCCTCGTCCACCTCGTCCTCGTCCTCGTCCTGCGCCTCGTCCTCGTCCTCGTCGTCCTCGTCGTCCTCGTCGTCGTCCTCGTCGTCGTCCTCCTCGTCCTCCTCGTCCTCCTCGTCCTCTCCCCCCCCCTCCTCGTCCTCGTCCTCGACCTCGCTCTCGCCCGATCGAAAATCCTCCTCGATGTCGACGAGTAGTGTGTCGACCTCCTTCTGCACCTCCCACTCCCAGAGCGCCCTCAAGCCAACCCACCCTCCACGGATCGACCCACCCTCCGCCGGAGACACCGGCGAACTCCGCTCGACCAGCTCCCTGGGCGCCGCCTGCCGCGCCGCGTGCACTGCCGCCGCCTCGTGCACATGAACAACGCCGAGGGCGCGACAGACACTTGCGAGCGATCCGAGGCTCCTGGGGTCTAGGTAGGCAAGCACATGCGCCACCCGTGTGTCCGGTTGCTCGAGCAGCCGGAAGGGCGGGAGCGAGCGTAGCGCGTCTAGCTTGAGCGAGCGCGGCACGGCGCCCAGCCATCCCTCGACGGTGTGGTGCGCGTGCGAGAAGGGCTCCGACGGAAGCAAGGGCGCCTCGGCTCGGTAAGCCCCCCACGGCTTCGGGGTAGCCAGGGCACGCTCCTTCAAGGTTGTTGACGGAAAGGTATTACGCAAGTCCTTCACCTTGAGTGCATCGGCGAAAGGACCGTGCAATACCCGGCCTTCAACAACCTTGACGGTGCACTCGAGTAGCAGCCCGACGGTTTGCCTGCACTCGACGAAGCGCAGCATCGGGCCCAACAAGTAGAGCAGCGTCCTGAGCTCACTCTTGCCGGCGCACACCAGCAGCAGCTCGGGCCTGGGCTTCTCCGCAGCCTTTGCCGCGTCGGACGCATCGGCCTCGGACTGCGCCGCCAGCGCCGCCGCCAGCTCCGCCGCCTGCGAAGAAGCCTCCGCCACGCGGACGGCCGCGTTTCTCGCCGCCGGTGATGGCCCCACCGTGGCGAATCGCGCGGCGGCCGCCGCTGCCGCATCCGACGCGGCTGCCGCCGCCGCGGCGGTCACCGCCGTCGCCGCCGCCGCCGACTCTAGCTCCGCCGCGACAGTGCCAATCGGATGCACAAAGCGATCCTGGAGCAACGACGGACTGCTCGTCGTCACTTGTATGGAGGAGGGGCGGGGCCGCAAGATGACGCGCAGCGCGTACCCGGAGAGCTCGAGGGCTTCCACGTCGGTGGTGCGGAACGAAAGGTGGGCGTAGCCGAGCCCGGGCAGGCGGTGCCCCAGCGCTGTGCGCCATGCCCACTTCCGCCCACGAATTGCAAGGGTCCCTTCGCCGCAATCGCACGCCCCGAGCAGGATCCGGCTCATCGACAGATTGGCGGACAGCGATTCAGCAAACGTCAACCCCCAGTGCCGGAGATGGTATGGCGACCACCCATGCGCTTGCGCCAGCTTGACCAGCCCGCGCCGGTGACATCCTCCAACCACGACAGCTGCTGCAGCCACAGCGCCTCTTCTTCCTCGAGCCTGGCAGACATGCGCATTCGCACCTCCACCGTCGCCTCGTGCGGCAGGATATCCCCGACCAACCCGTCAAGATCGAGAGGCCGTCCGTTGTGCGTCACGTAGAAGGCGGCCTCTCGATGGGCAGGCCATGCGGAGCCGGCCCAACGGGACTTCCGGGCCATACGCAGCAGAATCTCACGCAGCACGTCCAGAATGGTGTCATCACCGTCCATCACCACCACTGGCACGCCGGCGGAGCCACGCACGAAGAGCGTGATGGGCCGCACCATGATCCCCGTATTGAGACAGCCCGAACAGTTTTTTCTTTCTTGTGGAGTGGTGGCTAAACAGAGATGACGCGCCCTCACTTAGGATCTTCACAGTTTGGATCTTCACAGATGACACGTCCTGAGTTATTTATTAATTATCCTAGACTCTTCACACTTTGGCTCTTCACACATGACAAGTCCTCACTTATTTCTTGAGTACCCTAGGATATTCACACTCTGGCTCTTCACAGATGACACGTCCTGAGTTATTTATTAATTATCCTAGGTCCTTCACACTTTGGCTCTTCACACATAGGGGAGGTCAATCAGGGGAGGTCGAGAGGAATGCGATGAAATGCGAAATGGAGGACGGCACGCCGCCTCGCCGCCACCACACAGGGATTTTAAGGAGAGGAGTGTGGTGCTAGCCGTCGCCCACCCTAACCCTTCGGCGTCTGCCTTTGTTGCTTGAAATTCTTTTTTGCCGCGTCTCTTGCTGCAAAAGCGGCGTACTGCTCACTCCTCAATGGGGAATCAGGGGCAACAGGCCCGCGCGCGGAAATGGCAGGAGAAGAAGGCGGCGCAGAGAGCGCTGGCAGCCAAACAGGCGGAGGCCGACCAGGCAGCATCCGACGTGGAGGATCTGCCGCGAATTTGCGCCTTACGCTCCGAGTTGTCTCGCAGGCGCGGATCGCGGAGCTGAAGAGAAGGCGAGAAGAGCTGACCGCAGCCGAGGCGGAGGAACTGAAGAAGCTCGAGTCGCTGCCGGCTGAGAGTCCTTGCTGCTCCGTGCAGTGAAAACTTTCTGGATTCCCGTTGTAAGCGCTTGTTGAGAGGAGTGTCAAGCCACAGCGCAGCACTCACATACAAGATAGTCACGTGTAGTTTGTCGCAAGAACGTCGATGTATGCCTGGAGCAGAGGCGGCGGGCGGGCGCTGTGCGCGATTGCGGCGCTCCAGCCGGTATATGTCGGAGCGGTTATCGCGCGCGGTTGTAACGCGGTTGCCGGTTGCCCCCTAAGGAAGCTTACTAAGGTGGGTGGTGGCTGGTGCGTGCTGCGTGGGTGGCCAAGAGGGAGAGGGGCATCTCGCCGACAAGGAGGTGACGATGAGGTGAAAGCACTTGCTTGAGGTGGGGTGGGTGGGGAATAAAGAAAAATCCGGCACCCGCATCCTAAGCGCGAGGGCGTGAGGCGCGTCGCGCCGCCGCCAACTCGCAACCGCGTGGTTTTGAGAGATTTTTAAAGACCAACAAGAAATCACGACTCTCACAGTGACTTGGGCTCGGCAGCTTGTTAGCCCTCAGCCGAAGCTGGGGCCGGTCCCGTAGCCGAGAGAGCCCGCGCCGATGAGTTCGACGCGGTCGGGGGGGCCTGCGAAGAGGCCAGCGAGGTGGCGATCGCTGTACTTCATGGGGGTCATCAAGTGACCGCGACTGACAAGCCTCCGGTGATCATGAAAGGGAGGGAAGTGTCCGAGGGGGGACGGCGGTTTGGGGCTGCTCCGCGAGATAGGACCTCCCACAGCGGCAGCTCTCCGTGCCCCGACCGAGCCCCACCTCGCATCTTTGATCCAAATCAAGGCCAACCAGCCCGACCTGGACACTCACCTACCTTGCTGACAGCCCTCTGTCCGCCTTGCGTTGTTTCATTACATCGAAGGCTAAGCTCAAAAACCCACTACCCAACGCGGCCAAAGGATATCCACCTCGAGAACCTCGCGAGCTCAAAAAAAACGGAGGAGATTGTCGATCGTGCGCGGTGTCGTTAGCCACCGGGGCGCCTGCTTTGCAACCAAGGTGCCCACTTCCGTGGCGCTGATGTCACATTTCGATGAATGGCCCTCACGGAGCGGCGTCGACGAGCGCGCGCAGAACGTCAAGGTCGTGGTCGACGACACCTCCCTGGCCACCGTCGTCTCGCGCATCAAAGCGTGGGAGTTTATTTTGCTGCGCCCCTTCCTGGCGGTGGCGTCAGTCATGATGGTCTGGCTCTTTGTGGGGGCGGTGGTCTTCCTCAACACGCTCCAGGACCCGTGCACGGAGATTGAGCGCCGCAATGCCACTCACCTTTGGAACGAGGAGCAGTGCCACAGTGTGACCTATGCCATGGCGCTCTACTACTCGGTGCAGTGCGGCTTCTCAGTCGGGTTCGGCCTGCTCGTCGAGGAGGCGAACGGCGCGCGGTGGTACACCATCTTCCACGGCTTCTGCGGCCTCACCATCATGGCGGCCGGCATGACGCTCTTCCTCTTGCGGCCGGGCGGTCGGCTCGGCAAATACGTCGCCGGTGAGGACGACGATGAGGATGCAGACGGCGACGGCATCCCCGATCGCCTGGAAGGGCCGCTGCTCGCGAGGTGGGCGCGCACGTTCTTTCGCCGGCTCATGCTCGAGATGCCCTTCGTGCTCCTCGCCCTCACCTTCACATCGGCCGTCGTCTTTCAGTCCATATACCACGGCTGGTCCTTCACCACCTCGTGCTACTTTGCCTTTTTTGCGCTGTCGACGGGCGGGCTGCAGGGCCCGGGGGGTACGAGCGACGCCGAGATGCTCTTCACTGCCTTCTTCCTGCTCATCGGCATCCCGCTCTTCGGGGCCGCCATGTCGCGAGTGGTCGACTGGCTGCTCGACAAGTACGTGCGCGCCGTCCGCTCTTCGGAGCGGCTCCTCTCCAGGCAAAAGCGCCCGTTCGTCCGCCAGTCTCGCAGATGTCTTAGCCCGGGCCGCACGCGCACGCGGGGGACGCACACGGCATCACACTTTGGGCCGTGCGGGTTCTCAGGCAAAAGCACCTGCAGTCGAAGAAGTTCAAGCAGCAGCAGGCGGGCCTCGACGGCGTGACCCGGGACGCGTACGCCAAAGCGGCGGCGTTCGCAGCCAAGGCGGAGGAGGAGGCGGCCGAGGCGGCCGAGGCGCAGAAGGAGCTGGCGAGGGCGGAAGCGGTGGCAGAGGAGGAGGTGGCCGAGGCGGCTGAGGCTGCGGCGCAGGCGAAAGAGGCGTTGCGGCTCGCGCAGGAGCTGGAGCACCGGCGGTCGTGAACGTGATGCTCGTGTGCAAGAATGCGCGAGAGGGGCGGCGACTGCCAGCAAAGCTGCCAATGTCGAGGAAATCAAGATTGGAAATCAAGATTGGGGTGGGGTGCGAGTATGTAGGACAGTGCGTGACCAGCCGGCAGCCGCTCGGCTGCTAGGCTTTAAACTTTCTAGTAGAGCAGAAAAAGATTTAAAACTGCGCACTCGGATCGGCTGCCGTCGGAGTGGACTTGCTGCCACCCTGGTTGCAGATCTCCAGTTGCATCCCGGTACACGTAAAATGCGGCGATTGCGGTAAGGCAGAGCCACAACGGCGTTTGTGGATTGTGCGATCTTGCGACAGCTATGCCGGCCGCCCGCACGCGCCTGGCACTTCTGAGCCACCTTTGCATGGTTATCGGCGCCGTGGCGGAGTGCATGCCCCCCGCCAAGGTCCAGGCCACCCTCGGCTCAACTTGCAGCTATGCAGAGTGCAGCATGCCCACCGCCATCGACTGCGAGTACATCTGCACTGACATTTGCTGTGCAGCACGCCTAGGTGGTATTGGATGCGCCACAACGCGCTCAGGCCCAGTCATGGAGGTTGTGGAGATCGTGGAGGTCGGCAGGACGTGCACCACCGACGCCGACTGCGCAAAGGGCGAGGCGTGCTGTCCGGGCCCATCTCCAGAAGCGGGTGGGCAATGCGGGCCCGTCTGCGCCCTCGCGGCGCCAACGCTGACCTCCAGCTTGCAGTCAGCATCCACACACGCCATACTCGGTGGCGATACGGTCGAGCCACCCTTCTCCATGCCCTACGTTCTCTCTCTGTACAAGTGCAGCCTTTTCTATTGCGAATTACGTTGCGGCGCATCGCTCATAGCCTCTCGATGGGCACTCACAGCCGCGCACTGCACGGTCGACCCGGACGCGGCGGATGTGGCATTCGGGGTCTCAATGCACAGGCACCGCCTGGGTGATACGTACGAGCATGACTGCGCCGAAACCATGCGCGTACGGCCGATATGCCATCCCGGGTTTTCAATCGACACCATGGCGAATGATGTCTGCCTGCTTTGGCTAGACAGGGAGCCGAAATGCTTTCGACAGATGCAGCACATGGTGCTCGATGATGGGTCGCACGCGACTGTGGGCATTGAGGCCACCGTCGCCGGCTGGGGCGCGACCTCTTTTGATGGAGTGGAAACGAGCATGTCTTCCTACGCCGACACCCTGCAGGCGCTATCACCTTTCACTCGAACTCCCGCCACCCCCACCCCTCCCCGCCGCCACACAGGAGGGAGACCCTTGTGCCACATTCCTGCAGGTGGCGACGGTGACCGTCGTGGGAAACAGTATGTGTGCCGCACAGCTGTACGGCAGAGCCGAGTCGCAGGTCCTCGCGTCGATGATGTGCGCCAGTGGCGGAAGCAAGGACGCCTGCATGGGCGACTCGGGCGGCGCTCTCTTCCTCCCCTCGGGCGAGGGCCGACCGCTGCCCGTGGCGATTGGGATCGTCTCTTGGGGCGTCGGCTGTGGGCTCCCCGATACACCAGGCGTCTACACAAGAGTCTCGGCGTACACAGACTGGCTGCAGGCGCACTAGCGAATAGGGAGGACAACAGCTCACCGCAACGCAACACCCTGACTCGACCGCTTCACGATTGCAGGCGCGAATGAACTGGCAGCCAGCGGCACCACCACCCTTTTCCCCGCTGCCGCCCTCGCCCTCGCCACCGCCACCTTTCCCGCCTCTGCCGCCTCCGCCACTACTTCGACCCATCTCCTCGCCGCCGCCGCCGCCGCCGCCGCCACTGCCGCCACCGCCACCGCTGCCGTCGCTGCCGTCGCTGCCGTCGCCGCCGTCGCCGTCGCCACCTCCGCCCCCACCACCCCGGCCACCACCGCCGCCGGCTCCTTTGCCGCCACCACCGCCTCCGCCGCCACCACCGCCTCCGCCGCCTCCTTTGCCGCCTCCGCCGCCTCCGCCGCCTCCACCGCCTCCGCCGCCTCCACCTTCCCCCTCGCCACCGCCACCGCCCTTGCCCCCGCCGCCCCCGCCGCCGACGCCACCTCTCATGTCACCCGCTCCGCCGCCGCCTCCCTCGCCCCCCCCCCCCACCGCCACCTCTGCCGCCGCCACCGCCCTCACCACATCCACCGCCGCCACCACCATCGCCACTGCCACCGCCCTCGCCGCCGCCGCCACCACCATCTCCGCCGCCCTCGCCAACGCCGCGGCCGCCGCCTCTTGCGCCGCCGCCTACTCCCTCGCCCCCACCGTCGCCTCCACCATCGCCACCTCGCTTCACTGTCGATGGTTGCGAGTGCCAAAAGGAGTGGATGGCCGGCGAGGTTCACATTTCGGAATACTGTGTCGACCTGTACTCCGACTATGGCGAGTGGTGCCTTGTGGCAAAACCGATCTGCCAAGGCGGGCGTACTTGGGGCTACTGCCGAGCACCGCCGCCGCCACCGCCGCTGCCCATGGACTGGACAGCGCGGGCTCCCGAGGCACGGGTGGCATCCGCTCGCATCATTGGTGGTGACACCGTCGACCCCGCCTTCTCCATGCCCTTCGTCATGTCCCTCACACGGTGCAGCCTCTTCTTTTGCGAGCTGACCTGCGGCGCCTCGCTCATCTCTGCTCGGTGGGCGATCACGGCCGCACACTGCATGGCTGGTGCGAGGGGCAGCGTCGGCGTCTCGGTGCACAGGCACCGTCTGAAAGACTGGAGTGAGCACGAGTGCGCCGAGTTCATACCCGTGGTGCCCGTCTGCCATCCGGACTTTTCCCCAACGACAATGCAGAACGACATCTGCCTACTTCAGCTTATCAGGGAGCCGAGATGCTTTCGTCAGATGCAGCACATGGTGATCGATGACGGGTCGCACGCGTCCGTGGGCGTTGAAGCCACTGTTGCCGGCTGGGGAGCCACGGTCTTCACGCCGCACGACCCATCTCAGCCCGCGCGATGGGTCGCACCAGTACACGCGACCGACTTCAACGTTACAGCCTTCTTCGAACGCAGCCGGATGCAGATGAACGGCCATTCGGGGACGTCCATCGTTGGCCAGCTCGGTCAAGGGGAGGCGACAGGCTACGCCGAATACCTGCAGGTATGTGACCCGCACCCTCCCGTCGCCTAGCAAGAAGATGATGGCCTGCGCGCCACTCCTCGCCCCCGCTCCCGTGCCCGTGCCCTTGGCAGGCAGTGCAGGTGACCGTCATTAGCAACAACTTGTGCCAAGGGCTGCTCAACCCGCCGGTCGCCAACCTGAACATCGTTGGCACAATGCTCTGCGCAGGAGGCGACGGACTCAAGGACGCCTGCATGGGCGACTCGGGCGGCGCTCTCTTCCTCCCCGCTGGCGAGGGCCGACCGCTGCCCGTGGCGATTGGGATCGTCTCTTGGGGCGTCGGCTGTGGGCTCCTCGACATTCCAGGCGTCTACACAAGAGTCTCGGCGTACAAGGGCTGGCTGGAGGTGATCGCACTAGATGACGAGAGACCGCGACAGTATCCGTCACTATTTACCCTCATGCAGCTCTCGCTCCCCGTTTCAGGAACGGATGCAGCTACAACCGCCGTCGCCACCCTTCACCACCCCAAATCCTTCGCCGCCGCCGCCGCCGCCGCAGCCACCGCCACCTCCGTCGCCGTCGCCACCGCCGCCGCCACCGCCACCTCCGTCGCCGTCGCCACCACCTCCGCCACCGCGACCGCCGCCACCGCCTTCTCCTCCGAAACCGCCGCCTCCTCCTCCTCCTCCGCCGCCGCCGCCGCCCTCGCCCTCGCCACCGCCTCCGTCGCCGCCCTCGCCCTCGCCACCGCCTCCATCCCCGTCACCCCCGCCCGCAATGCCTTCACCACCTACGTCGCCATTTCCGCCCCCAGCTCACTCACCGACACCATACTACTCATCCCCACCTGCCGCATCGCCTCATCCGCCGTCGCCCCCGCCCCAGCCGCCGCCGCCGCCGCCGCCCCTGCCGCCGCCCCACCCGCCGCCGCCGCCGTCACCGTCACCGCCGCCGCCGCCGCCGCCGCCACCGCCGCCGTCACCGTCACCGCCGCCGCCGCCGCCACCGCCGCCGTCACCGTCACCGCCCCCACGCACACTTCCACCGCCGCCGTCACCGTCACCGCCCCCACGCACACTTCCACCGCCGCCGCCGCTGCCGCTGTTGCCGCCACCGCCACCATCGCCCTCGCCACCGCCGCCCTCGCCACCGCCGCCGCCGCCACCACCACCACCTCACCCGCCGCCGCCGCCACCTCCCCGGCCGCCGCCACCTCACCCGCCGCCACCAGCGCCACCGTCGTCCGCGTCCAGGGCATGCGGCCTCAACCAGCCGTTCACTCTGACCAAGTCCAACGCGTGTCCAAATGGCAAACGATCTTGCCGGTGGTGCCAGCAGATTGGGGGCAGCTCTGGACCATACACCTCCGAACGGCACAGGCGGTGCGAGTCTTTCTACGTCAGCTACGACGGCGAGGTGGCCGAGTGCGTCTTTGAGCAGTCGGGCAATGCTTGGGTATGCGTGATGGACTGGCCGCCGTATGTTGCGTGCACTGACTCAACTAAGCCGCCCACCCCCCCTCCGCCCCCACCGCCTCTCCCGCCTCCGACGCCTCTCCCGCCTCCGCCACCTATGTCCTCGCCGCCGCCGCCACCATCTCCCCCGATCGCGCGTTTGTCGACGCTGCCACCTCCACCGAGCTGCCCTTGCTCCGGCATCACGCCCTGCAACCACCACGGCGTGTGCGAGAGGCGCGTCCAGGTGGGCACGCAGGGCCACCACCACGAGCATTGGGTGAACATGGGCGGAGTGTGCGAGACAGACGCTCCAGACTGCGACTGCCCGTGCTCCGGCGTCATGCCGTGCTACCACCACGGTCATTGCGAGCGGCGCGTGCGGGTTGGGACGCAGGGCTACCACTATGAGCAGTGGGTGGACGTGGGAGGCGTCTGCGAGACAGACGCGGCAGACTGCGAGCTGAGCCCCAGGGTGGCGCACACTCACGCGCCGCCTCCGACCCCGCCAACGCCCCCGCCCCCGCCCCCGCCCCCGCCCCCGCCCCCGCCACACCCGCCGCCGCCCTTGCCGCCCTCGCCCTCGCCTGCGTCTGTGCCGCGGGATGCATTGCCAGCTCCGCCGTCGCCCTCCCCCGCCTCTCCCTGCGCCACGCGAGAGATGCTTGCGGGCAGAGCCCGTCTGACCGGTATAATTGGCGACGAGTGGTGCGCCGGTGGGCCCACGGGGATCAGCTGGAAAGGCAATGTCTCCTTTATTGCTCACGTGCAAGCAGCCTGCGAGCGGTGGTACGTGGATCCGTTCGACGTTCCTACCGCGGTCGGCAAGCCTTACGAGCCGTGCCGCGGCGGCTGCAAGCTCTGTGACTATAGGTACGACAGCAAGAGCAGCAGGTACAAGTGCCGGGCGGGGCCCGAGACGTACCGGCGTCTCTGTCCGTCCTCGTCTGCATCACCACCCCCCACGGATGCTCTGCTGGCGCTGCCGCCACGACCACGACCGCCACCGCCGCCGCCACCTCCACCGTCGCCGCGGCCGCCGCCGCCGCCATCGCTGCCGCCGCTACCGCTGCCGCCGCACCCCTCGCACCAGCCTAGGGTCCAGAGCCCGTCGCTGCCATCGCCTCCCCCCACCGCTCCCTGTGCCACACCAGAGACCTTTGCGGGCAGAGCCCGCCTGACTGGGATGATTGGTAACGAGTGGTGCGGTGGCGGGCCAACGGGCATCAGCTGGCAGGGCACCGCCTCGTTTGAGGCGGCGGCAAAGCGATCCTGCGAGAGCTGGTACGTGGACCCCGTGCATGGCTCCAAACTGGCTCCGAACTTGCCCTCTGCGCCAGTGACATACGGTAGTGGCGCTCCGTACGCAATGTGTAGCGGCGGCTGCATGCAGTGCGTCTACGAGTACCACCGCGGACGGTACAGGTGCCTCGGGGCTTCGGATTTGTACGTTGGGGTATGTCCGGACTGATGCATGCCGAGCACGCTCTCTCTCAGTCTCACGCTTGAGACTCATCCGCCACGCGGCCCGGCGCGCGGCGACGCGCCAGCCGCTGCGCGCTGGGGTTTCTCCCATCGCAAAGGCCAGCCAGCGTCCGCACTCCACAGACGCTCCCGCGGGGCCGCGCGCCGCGCGGGACCGCCTGCGTGGCATGTGTGTCTGGACGGTTGTTCTCTATCATTCATGTGAGTACAGAGTGATGAAATCATGTGAGTGTAACAACGACATGCGGGGCTCATGCACAGACACAGCAATATCATAGCTCACCCGTCGCCACGCCGGCGAAGAGCGGCTCGTTGTCGTTCGATGCGCGAGACGAGCGAGCGCGCACGAGCGGGAAGTCTCGAGAGCACGCCGAGCGCGGCCAGCGCGCTAGAGCGCTAGACGACCGTCGCAATGGAGACGATGAAGAGGGATGACAGCAGGGAGGAGGCGAGTGGCCGGCGGTGCAGCGGGAGCATGGAGAAGGCAAACAGGTTATATGGCGTGAACAGAGCGAGCTCGACGCCCATCGCAAAGGGCAGGTTTGCCTGCACAGAGGCGGCTGCGCCGCTGAGTCCCGAGCCAGCGAGCAGTGGCAGCAGGAAGAGGTAGGCCGCGTTCGCCAGAGGCGCGGACAGCTCAGGCTTGATACTGATGGGCCTGGGCCAGGAGAGCGACAGAGAAGGCGAGGTGGTGAGCTGGGAAGCCGCTTTGTCGGCACCTGGACGTGTGTCGCGATGAAAAGTGCCAAGAAGCGCCTCGGCTATTGCGCAAAACCTTGGGAGAGAAGGCCTACATATTATGACTGCATCCATGCGTCTGGTGCATGAGGGCTGTGGGTCGGGACATTTCACGGTCGGTGGCGCCGATATTGACCTCCGGAAAGCCCTCGCAATCGCTCGGTAAAGCCGTACGGGGCCACCGGGAGTGCTGGAGCATCACGAGCCGGTGTGCGCTTGAAGACCCGAGATAAGTGCGGTCTGGGACAGCTCAGGCTTGCTACTGATGGCCCTAGGCCAGGAGAGCGACAGAGAAGGCGAGCTGGTGAGCTGGTAATCCATCGCAAGCGACCCGGAGCGCGCAACCGCGCATCTCGCCGCCGCGGGGCTCCGACTGGTTATCTAGACCTTCCTTCTCCTCCCTGTTCCTTCCTTTTCCCTTCCCATGTCTTCCCGGCCTCCGGCCGGCGCCTGCGGCGCCGTTCTTTTTGCCCGGCCGCGCGCAGCGCTAATCGGGCGTCCTTTGCTCCTCCGCGAGCTCTAAGGGGCCCAAAAAAGTGGGAAAGAGATGCACTCGAAGATGCAGTCGTGCCTCTTTCGAATGGCGGCAGCGCCGGCGCGCAGCGCCACGCCGCCAGGCGTCCGCCGGAGGCTCCCCGGCCGACACACCCCGGCAAGCTTGCCGCGCGCAGCGCCCCGCGCCGCAGGCCCGCCGGAGGCTCCCCGGCCGACACACCCCTCTAAGAAAACAGGACCAGCCCGTCGGCGGTACTTGGAGCACTTGGAGTGCAGTCGGCAACCTCACATCCAGGGCCGGTGAGCCCGCGCAACAATCTCCTGTGCCATTTGTAGTGCCAGTCCGAGCCAGTCTGCTGTGAGAGGGGCTTATAGTAAAATTCTTTTCTCCGACCTGTGTCGAGCCTGCTGTGCCTGCTCATATCCTCGCATATCCTCGCATCCGAGCCAGCCCGTGATGGACACCGCCGCTCCACCCTCCTTCCTCTGCCCCATCGGGCAAGAGATCATGCGCGATCCCGTCGCCTGCGCTGATGGCCACTCTTACGAGCGGGTCAACATCGAAAGATGGCTCGCCACGAACAACACGAGCCCACGCACAGGGGCACAGCTGCCCAACAACGCGCTCATTCCGAACCATGCGCTGCGCAACTCGATCGAGGAATGGCTGTCGGCGAACTTCAAGCTCGTGCCGCGCTCCGCCGTGCACTTTGACGGCGAGAGCTTCATCGCGCGCGGCAGCTTCAAGACCGTCTACCGCGGCACCCTCCAGGGGCGATCCGAGCCGATTGCGGTACTGCGCATGCGCATGGGCGGCTCGTGTGAGGAGGAGGCGGCGAAGCTCGTCAAGCTCGGCCGGCACTCGGCCCTCGTGCGGTACCTCGGTATCTGCACCGAAGGGCCCGACCAGCTGCTGCTGACGGAGCTCGCGCCGCACGGCTCGCTCAATATGTTCCTCGAAGCGCACGAGGACGCGGTCACTCTGCCGCACAAGCTCAAGGTGCTCGAGCAGACGTGCGCGGGCATGATCGCGCTCAGTGGCGCGGGGATGGTGCACCGCGACCTCGCGATGCGCAATCTCCTCGTATTCGCATTCGACGCCATCGACCCTGCGGCCACCGTCATCAAGATTACAGACTTTGGCCTCGCCGTCGACCGGCACTACCAGACTCACGCGACTGTGCAGGGCGAGGATGTGCCCTTCCGCTGGATGCCGCCCGAGGCACTCCGCCGCCGCCGCTTTTCGGAGAAGAGCGACGTGTGGGCGTTTGGCGTGACAGCGTGGGAGCTGCTCACGGGCGGTGACATGCCATACGCATTCATTGGATCCAACGAGGCCGTCGCGGAGCGTGTCTGTGGCGGCGAGCGCCTGAAACGCCCCAACGGCTGCCCGGACGAGCTGTGGGCGCTGATTCAGCGCACGTGGGCGGCGGCTCCAGCCGAGCGGCCCACCTTCATGGAGCTCGCGGGCGAGCTCACGCGCATGCACCAGCCTGAGCCCGCGCCTGTGCCCGTTGTGGAGACTTGGGAGAGCATCCGCGCCCAGTTGACGCAGATGGGCTATCCGCCATCGGCGTGCCTCGGCTGCACGCCAATGGAGGCGGGTTTCTCGTGCTTTTACGGGGCTCCATTGTTCTGCTCCATCTGCGTGTCCCACGGGGCCCGCCCTGACGCCTCTGACACACGCGCCTTGCGCGTTCTCCTCCACGGGGCAGCGCCTCTTACCGGCGACTTCGACGCGCAGGCAGAAGCCGTGATGCCGCAACTGGATGCGGCTTTCGGCCCCGACGCCTTCATGCCGGCCGCAGCGCTACGAAACATGAAGTCAGCGATCAATCGCAACTTCGGCAGCCTCAGCCCGCAGCGACTCGCGGCGACATTCGACGAGCTCGAGGATCGCGGCTTCGTCAGCGCAGCACAAGCGGCTGAGCTGCTGGCTGTAATAGAATCACATGCCAGTTTTGATCACGGCGCGCACTGGCGCTACTATCACGTCATCTGCCACCGCATACTCGACCGCTGGAACACGTCGGACGAGCTCCATGGCATCGGCGACTGCTACCACGGATGGTCATCGCCAGATGACATCCTCCGGGCGAGCAGGACAGCGATGGGTGCGCGCACCGCAGGCGACATCCGCAGGTATGTGCAGGAGCAACTGTTTGTGCCCGGCAAGCTTCGTTTTAAGGGTGACTCTTACCCCGAGCAGCTGCCCGGTTTCTACGCCGCGCTTCTGCGTCGGATCGACGGGGCCCAGGCTGCAGTCCCCCCCCCGACACAAGCGGCGGGTGGTTGTGGACAGTGATGAGGAGTGACGGTCGTAAACGACACACGGTTGCGGGTACGTCTCCGGGTCGGTTTTGAATGGTGTTAGCAGGTGTGTAGTCAGCGATTGCCTTGAGCACGATACGGTTCTCGCTTCTCGCTCCCAGCAGGCTCCACTGCTCATCGAAAATGATCTAACACGCTCCGGTTCTCCGTGGAAAAATAATCTTCGCCCCACCGCCGACCGCCCGGGCTCCAGCGCTGGCGTCCAGGCGTTCACCGTCTCGGAGGTTGACAGAGCCGACAAGCACCTGCCCTGTGTCCGCGAAACGCCCACACTGGTGGATTTTGGGGCGCGCTGCTGCCGCGCACCCCCTAGGCGAGGCCCACCCAGGGGCTTGGCGGCTTGCAGCCTATGTGCAGGTTGCAGATGATCGGTTTGTTGATAGAGAGCGAAATAAAAAATATGTGCACATTGTCATCATCGTATAGACCCGTGCTCCTCCCCCTCGGGCACACTGGCACGCGGACTATACACTACATCACCCAACGTTGCATCGCAGAAACAACCCGCCCGAATCCTCGGCCCACGATCCCCACCCTCGCTGGCTACTCCACGCAGATGCCCATCCGCCCAAACTTCGGGCCGAGAGCGCATTCGCACTCCTCCCCGCCCACGCACTGGTTGCGAGGAGCAGTCGAGTCGGCGGGAGCAGCCGCGGCCGGCCGGCTCGCGGGGTCGCCACCGCCGCCGCCACTGAGCCGGTGGCGGATGTCCTCGCGGAGGGCCGCGACCAGCGCGAGCCAGCGGGGGAAGGGCACACCGCTCGAGAACTCGAGGAACCGCCGCTCGCACGAGTGCGAGTGGTACACCTCCCCCCAGAACCGGAGCAGCCGTCCGAAGCCCTCGAGCAGAGAGCGCGCCTCCTCCGACAGGGCGGGGACGTCCTCCGACGCTTCCTAGGCAAGTGTCCACGAAGTGTCTAGGAGGTGTCTAGGAAGTGTCTAGGACGTCCTCCGACGCCCCCCCCCCCGCGCCTCGCCGCCCAACGAGGGCGCCTCGCCCTCGCGCCTCGCACCGCCGTGCACCTCCCCGGCGCTCGCGCCCACGCCCGACGCCTCGCAGACGGCGTCTAGGAGAGACACGCGGCCGCACCGCCCATCGCCGCCCCGCTCGCCGCGCCCGTCGAGGTCGGCGAGGAGGAAGAAGAGGATGGCGGCGTTGATGACGCACATTGTCTCGACGGACAGGTCGCCGTCGCTCGCCTGCCGGCGCAGAGACGGAGGGGGGGAGGGCGGTGAGGGGGGAGAGAGGGGAGATGCCGCCGCCCCGCCGCAACGCACCGCGGCCACTAGCGCTCGCGCGAGCTCGACGCGCCGCCGCGTCACCACCTGGGCGAGGCTGCCCCGCGCGGCGTCCGCGAGAGGCCCGTGGCGCCTCAGCGCCGACAGCTTGGGTGTCATGCCGGCGGCGGCCGCGGCAACGGGCTCCGGCGGTGCGAGGCCGAGCGAAGCGAGGGCGCGCATGCCGCGCAGCGGCGACGCCTTAAGCAAGGTGATGTCGCTCGTGGGCAAGCCGCCGCGTTTTTTGGGGGGGGG